ATTTGCTAGAGCAGCACCCCTCACAATCAATACTTTAAAGGCATTTGGAGGGGGACTAAGAAAGATGCAGGATTCAGTGTTCCATCACAGTAGGAAATGTCTAAAGGATGTTGTGTATTAACGTGAGGCAAACAGACCTGCCAGTCTTGCAGGGCTTTTCTGTTAGTAAAGAGGGATGTTGCTCCCCTATTTCGTATAACAATTTGTATATGGGTTTTGCATATATTTAAGGTATAGTCTCCCTTTCTGTTTTCAGTCGAAGTTCAAAGTTCATACCATGATTAATGCCAGAAATTACTTTTTTTCTTTCACTTAAGTGAAGGGATTAGGGATGTTTTCACTTTATTTTTCCTTTACACCTTTTCAACTAGTAAATAAATGTATTTTAAGCATTTGGTTGGGGATGAAGAACACTCGTGTGGTTCTGTCACGGAGGTAGGAAATGGAAAAGTGGATGTATTTGCATTTATTTACACAAGATTGTTCTTTGTTGCTGTAAGCCCTGGTGCAACCTTTGGACCTTCCGGGTCATCTGCTGCAGAACTCCTCAAAAGTTATTTTTGTAATGGAAAATAGAATTTTCTGTTTCTCCCAGCATATTTTTGCACTCATGCTTCTGCATTTTCTGCTTCTTGATGATCCCCAAAAGAGCTCAGAAATGAAAAGAACCCAAACGAACACCTTTCACCAACTATAGGCAGTTTAATAAGCAAATCAATCTTACATCCTGCCTAATGCCTTGTTAATGTATGTGTGTTGTATTAATGACTGAAAACAGTCATTGTTTCCCCTACCTTTATCGCTGGCACAGGCTCTGGCACTGACAGATCAGCTTTGTGATGTTGATTTAAATCCCTTCCAAAAACCCCACCAGTTCTGGCTGTGTAACCCAGAAGATGCTGAATTAAAGACAAGATCTGTACAGTTTCAGAGGATTTGGTCTTAGCTACATGGGTCTGGTGACAGTTATTGGTACTATCAAGTTGCACACTATTGATGGGACTTTAGCGAGTCATAATATGATGCTGCTTTGTGTATCAAATCTCCGCTGATGCAACCTCACACAAAGTGGGGGTTTGGATATGTTATACTTCAAAGCAACGTGATGATTTAATGCCTGCAAAATTATAGCCGGTTCAATGTTGCTATCAAGAGGAATAAAATTATAACCAAAAGAGAGCTTTTAGAAGCAATTCAGCAGTATAACACTCATAAGCTGTTTTGTAGCATGTTAAAGCACAGTTTGACGTGTGCTGGTGGTTAACCATGCGCTTTCAATTACTGCACACCCCCGTCTTTGAGCCAGAAAAATGATGGAATGATTCCTCACAGGGGGGTGCTTTCTGTTGCTGCTCAATAAAGGAAATGGATTCATTTTAGCTAAACAAAGAAAAAAAAGCAGGGGTGGTGGCACTGCTGCTGCAGGGGGCAAGATGGAGTTGGATGGCAGGACATGGAGTGACTAACGTGTGGGTCTGGTGAGATGCCTCTGTGTTCTTCTGCTTCCCTCTGCTGGAGTGCGGCAGGATTCCTGCCCATCTCCTGGCCAGGCTCTGGAGCAAATCTGAACCTCTTTTAATAGGAGCAGAGCCGATTAACTGGGCCAGTCACTCCTGCAAATTCATTTATTTATGTTTTAAAGCTTTCTGCTCTGTTTTCAGTGTTCTTTCTATAGGTCCACATTGCACAAGTCCGTGCAACACAGATGTGGTCCTTGCGATTCTGTGGCTGCCTCTCTGCATGAGCATGTCTCAGCTGTGAGACTAATGACTAATATTTTGGTTTTTCCAGAGCTGATGGGGTTTAGAAGACTATTTGCTGTTTCATCTTTATAGGGATGCTGCACCCATGCGTGTCATTACAGGCTCTGAAAACTCTGTTGTACTGCAGGCGAATTGCAGAGCACTGACTAGATTTCTGCCGATTTAAAGGTTTTTCAAAGGCAAATATTTAAATGTCTACAACACTGATTTGCTCCTTTCCCATTGGATGGTATATTGCATTCAGTTGTACACACAAAACTGGGGGGTTGTCTTAATAACAGCAAAGAATTCACATTTTAGCATGAAAATAACATGCATTTTAATCGAACACATCATTCATCACTTAACAAGTGCTTCCCCATTGCTTTCCCGTTGCCACTTCTCCCTTCATAATTTTGATGGATTTTGGAAACAGAAGTGGGTTTTCCCTTTAGAGTTTCACGATTAATCTATGCCAAGTTTAGTGCAAAGTTCAGTTCTCTTGCAAATAGCAGCCACTATTTGGCAGTTCATCTGTCATATCCTGGCTTGGCTCCCTGTGTTTACTATGAAATATGACTGCCAGCAGTGCTGAGGGAACTATTGAAAGTTTACATTGATTAAAAGGGGGTATATGAAGAAAATGTATAGGAATTTACCTCTAACTCAGGAGTTTACGTCTAGCTGAAAAATACTAATGTCAAAGCTATTTCCTCAATAATCTGTGTAAGTCACTTATTGCATATTTAACACCGGGAAGTATTAAAACTGCATTAACAACTAATAACTTAATTGCTGTTAATAATACAGGTAATTACTACTGGCAGTGTAGTAATTATTAGTAATACAGTTATTTAAAGTGTACCCTATAGGTTCAAGGGTAGTTCTGAGAGTGTGAATAGCCCTTGTTAATATAGGGAATGAGATGAAAAGGTTTTAACATCTCTGATGGATGCGTAGCGATCTTTCTCTGTATGTTCTCAGACTTGCTTGCAAAATAACAGTTGTTTTGTGTGCTTCAATTTACCAAAACCTATGCATAGGATTGAAGCACAAAATAGGATTGATCCAACCTGATTTATTTATTCACACGCCTGGTTTTGCTTCATTGCTTTAGAATAATGCTCTTCCTGGTGTTTTGTGCTTACATAGAGCCAAGTGCAGGAGTACATGGGCCCTTGCTGGCTGTTTTGGAGTGAGTGCAGTATAGCTGTCCTTACATGTCGCAGCATGTTTAAGCCACAGACACACCCCTGCTTAACTTAATTACCATGTATATTCCATTGATTGAAATGGAATTACCTAGAAGTGCTTGATACAATTTCAGTATAATATACAGGTTCCATGTGTTTAGTAGACATTCATTATAATAATTTCCCATAGTTCTTTCCCCTCTGTGTCATTACTTTATACTTATAAATGCCACTTTTATGTCAGATGTTAAACACAACTTTCAAAATCTGTTTATTCAGTTGCTGGGGGTTTGTCCTCAGCAGCAGATGCGCTCACCAAATTCTGGTTAAGTGTCTGTATTTGTAAGGCAACAAGTCCCCCCATGTCTTCTAAATAAAACAGTTTAAGGAAGAATTAACTTTGAAAACGGGTACGAATTTGTTTGGAAGGCATATAGTCATAGGCAATCCATCAGATAATCCTTCAGCAAAGCAATGTTCCCATGACCTGCACCACAAGACCCATTAGCTATATCTTTAATAAATAACGAAACAGATGTTCTCCGGAGCATTGAATGTCATTCCATTTAGATTAACTGTGTTTACAAAAGAAGTATGGTTGTTATTAGTTTGCCTGTCATATCTCAAGCTGCATAACCAACAGAACTAGTGAAATAGTCTCAAATTGAATTCTTAATGGAAAGTCTTTACTTGCTCTCCTCGATACTGTATATCGAATTTCTGGCTGTGCAGTGAAAACCAATGGTCGTTGATTCGTCAGAAAACTTAGAATCATTACCAAAAAAATTCACACAATGCTTTCTGAAACAAGCAGAAAACCTTCACAAAGCATAATATGGCAATCCAGTAAATTCTGAAGGTAAGATTTTGCCTTCTTAGTTGTATTTTAATGATAATTACTGAGAGAAGTTCCTAAATTTGTTGAGAAAGTTCTTATCCTAGAGGAATCTTTTGTGTGTGCAGAAAGAGTTGGCAGATTTTCCATTTTGTGTGACAATCCCAATGCTTTGGATTTTTTGGAAAGCTTTTCTCAGCAGATGTAACTTGGAAAGTTACTTAATTTTTTAAGGCCGTTTGAGAATTCTGATATGAAAGTAAATTAATATAAAATGTAAACAGAAGAAAAACCTTTTGATGTCTCATTTTGAGGTTGTGGTTTTGTTCAAGGTGTTTTAATGCAAGAAAGACCCAGCTTTTCTTAGTTTGCATGGTCTTTGCTGAAAAGACTGTGAGCAAGAATTGATTTTAGTCCCCAGTGAATGTTTCCTAATGAAGAAAACTTACTGCTCTTCCCAACTTCTGATTGAAATTGTGCAGTGAGAGCTTGGACTATAATAGAGTTGGAGCTGAAGTTGGTCCTAACGGATACCAAAGTACAGGTGATGTGCCCAGGAGGACGGAGCTGTCGCACCATGTGTTTGTGCAATGTGCATCTCCAAGTGTTGGGAACAGGCTGTGGGAATCTGGTGTATGTGAAGTTCTGTGGCTGTGTATACGTGGAATGAGGCTGCCATGGGTGAAGATATTGAAGATGTGATTTCTTCCTTTCATAGAAATGTTTTTAGCTTACCAAAGGGGACCTGTATCTCTGGAGAAAGAACAGATGTGTTTGGACACGTGGTACATATAAGTGATTTGGGTGTATTCCCTTTCACTGGTCCTAAATTAGAAACCATTTCCAAGCTGCTGGTGGCCTTAAAATGTCCTCACTTTAAGTTGCTCTATTCAAAAATCAGATGGGAATAGTAGTCTGTAAGTTAGAATTTGTTCACTTTCATTTACGGTAATATACATTATAGATTGCAACATTTCAAATCGATCCCCTCTTCAGGGTCCTGATTTTACAGCCACTTGACTGTATTTCTGATTACCCTTTGGTGGTTACTTCCCTCCTCTCCTGGTACAATTGGTGTCATCATATCAGAATGATGACAATGTCCAGTCGGTAAATGGGGGAATTTTAGTGAAGATGAATCACAGGAACAAGCCTGTGTTCTCTGATACAGTTCTGACATAGTCCTTCTTACAACACCAAAGCAAAGGAATCTCTGTTTTTTCCCTACAGGATCCCAGAAGCAAGCACAAATTTAAGATCCACACCTATGGGAGCCCGACCTTCTGTGACCATTGTGGGTCACTGCTTTATGGGCTTCTGCACCAAGGGATGAAATGTGACAGTAAGTGAAGATTTTCTGTGTTATCAAAAGGGTGCTTTAGAAAGTAAGTGGAAACAGTGGGTAACAGCCTCTTAGCTCTTTTCTGTGGAAAATACCATTTCAAATGTCAGCTATTTATAGCAGTGTTACATTTCAAGTGGGTATTTCAGTACTGTAATAATATATTGATGAAAATCACCTGTGTTATTGAGAACACGGTGTATTCAGTTTGATGTGGCTGAAGAGCCTTTGCCGTTGCAGTTTTGAGATAGCCTCTTTTTAGACTGGTCAGGGTGAGTGTGCTCTTGAAGACTGAAATCCGAGTTCAGTTGGTAGCCAAGGTCCAATATTTCACTTGTATTTCGTTCTTCTTGGGAGTCTCCTGCTAGAAAAATCAAATAATCAATTTAAACCTAGCTCCCATTGTTGCTAATGCTGGCACGAGGGCTCTGTTATCTTAACCGTATTCCCAGCAAATCTTTAGTCCATTTTCACTTGTTTCCCTTGCACTTTGTTAATGATACCTTTAGTTTTCTGAAGTAGATTATTTGATTCTCTGTTTCATTCACTGTCTGCAAAACCCAAGATGCAAACTAGCCATGTCCTTCAGTTGAAAACATACAGCTGTAACCTGAAAGGCTTGCCAGCAGTTAAGCACTGTAATCTTAACTTTCTCTTCGCTCAGTGTTTGCAGTGTAGTCATATTATTAGCTTCTCATGACTGTCTGAACTGCTTTTATATCCACAGCCTGTGATATGAACGTTCATAAGCAATGTGTAATAAACGTCCCAAGCCTCTGCGGCATGGATCACACAGAGAAACGAGGAAGGATTTATCTGAAAGCTGAAGTCAATGGTGACAAACTGGAAGTAACAGGTACACAACTTACTTTGGAATTTTGCATTCTTGTGTAATACACAATATGGGCTTATGCACCTTTGTCACACCTCTGTGTAAAAGCCAGTGATGGAGTCTTGCCCTTCAGAAGTGTGAGGATTTCATTTGACGTGTCCTTGAATCAAGAAGCTGTGAACTGGTGTTCACAAAGATAGACAGACAAATGGAAGCTGTAGCAGTAGCTTTAAAAACCTAGGAATATTCATTAGAAAATAACTGTGATGTTGGTTTTCATGCAGAGAGCAGCCCAGTAGGATAGCTGTAGCTGGTCAGGAAGTTAGCCATCATCTTCAGAAGTACTCTGGGCTTTCATCAGCTGAGGAGTTGCTTCCTGCATTTCAGAGTGTTTAATAAGCCATAGCAACTTGGATTCAATCCCAGATATTATCAGTGAGTTATGAAATGAAAAAGAAATCACCACATTCTGTAAAGTGAAAGTTACCCAGATGGGAAGGAGGGAGAGAGGGGAGGAAAGAGAGGGTAGCAGTTCATTTCCCCCAGGATTTAGGAGTGAGCTTTGGTTGTGCACATCCCAGCGAGCCATTCCAGCTCTGGGGTTCCAGAAAAAAGCTCTGGAAAATGTATTTTGTGAGATGAAGGATTGTTCTGTCCCCCTAAATAGACACGTGAAATGTTGTTTAACTCCAGCAGGACTTCCTTGTTCTGTGTCAGAAAGTGGAGTTCATTGCTCAGGGTCTGCATGAGAATTGGTGTTTACAGCATGACATTTTTTCTGTGTGTGCCTTCTTGTTTAGGTGGGGTCAGCTTCTAATGAATGTATCTGATACCTGAAATGTAAAGTTGGGAGTGAACTTTATTATTGATTTTGCCTTTCTGTTGGGCACAAATAATGCAAACAATTTTCTTTGCCAGTCACATTGCAGTGTATTTATTCAAAGGGAGGCCACAGGGCAGGAATTAGGATGGACAGAAGTTAAATAAGGGAGGGAATAACAACAAAATCTTCATTATTATTATTTTTTATAAGTGTAGGGGTAAGTCTGTAAAACAAATTAAATTCTAAAAGAAAAACCTGATTTTATTATGGCTCAACATTTTAAGGACATATAAAATATAAGTATGACCTTATGTAGGAAATGGACTAGAAGATGCGCATAAAACACAAATCATCAAAAGCTTTTACCTCAGGAGAGCGTGCTGGTTAGCGTGTGGCCAGCACTGAAGGCAACAAATCTACATGTACACTGACACGTCTGCAAAACTGGTACTGCAAGAGACTGAATTCAGTGTCCACACTGAAACAGGAGCAGGGTACCACTCCCGCATTTCCTCTGTGGGGAATGAGTCTCAATAGAGACCATAGCCGTTGTAGCCAACAGAAAGGAAATCATAGAATCATAGAATAGTTAAGGTTGGAAAGGACCTTAAGATCATCCAGTTCCAACCCCCCTGCCGTGGACAGGGACACCTCACACTAAACCATCTCACCCAAGGCCTCGTCCAACCTGGTCTTGAACACTGCCAGGGATGGAGCATTCACAACCTCCCTGGGCAACCCATTCCAGTGCCTCACCACCCTAACAGGAAAGAATTTCCTCCTTAGAGCCAATCTAAACTTCCCCTGTTTAAGTTTTAACCCGTTACCCCTTGTCCTGTCACTACAGTCCCTAATGAAGAGTCCCTCCCCAGCATCCCTATAGCCCCCCTTCAGATACTGGAAGGCTGCTATGAGGTCTCCATGCAGACCAAATCTGACCATCACACCGAATTCTCACAGCTCACAGAACCAGCACACTCCTGGCACTGTATTCATCCATGGCTTAGTTGTCTCTAAATCCAAACAGCTCCACGTTCTCCTGCCAGACCTTGTAAAATGTAGAAGTACGATGCATGTTAGTTAGGGTCAGAGCAGATCCCAAGTGATACCTAATTGTAGCTTAACTCTTCTGATAGCTTCCTGTTGACGTAGGAGGGGTGAAGTTGTCCAAGGTCCTGTCATTAACAGAAAGGTGGTTGCTTAAGTAGTAAGGCACTGCATAGATGCTGATGCAGATTCTAAAAGTAATTGTGCCATGAGAGAGATACTAATTCGAAACTCATCCAAGTGACTAAATTTAGTGTTTGCATTATTTTAGGCTGCTTTGCAGCAAGGTTCTTAAATATGGCTTAAACTTCCTGCCATAATGCACATAATTTGACAAATAGCACATAGTTATTTTCTGATGATTACACAGGTTTATAATTGTTCTAGGGGCAAAAACGTTTGTCGCAAGTGTGTGGTACCAAGGCACTATAAAGCAATTACACAAATAGGTGTTCCTTCAGTTCACAGTTTTATTAGAGAAGATACTGGGTGTCATGGTTTACCCTTGGTGCCATGGTTTAGTGTGAGGTGTCCCTGCCCATGGCAGGGGGTTGGAACTTAATGATCTTAAGGTCCTTTCCAACCCTAACTATTCTATGATTCTATGGGAATGTGGTAATATTGTTACAGGTATTTTGTAGGTTTCCTCCTGTAGCTCTTTTTGGTGCAGTTGGACTTGGCAAATGCTGTTACTTCTGTGTTTATAAATAAAGCATTTCCATCCTATAGTGAAGTAGGTTTCTGGACAACAAGAAAAACCATTTACTAGAACCTTGTTGTGTATATAACCATTACCGTGCTCTTAAGTCCTTTTGGTTGAGGCTCGCCAGCATTTCCAGGCTTTCAGAAAACTCCTTTAAAGAAGAATGACAGTTACCCTGAAAGGCAGATCCTTTACTCCAATAAAAAACATATATACAGACTAAACCCACACAGGGTGACGTTTCGGATACCTTTTGTGCATGTTTAACAGCAGAGAAAATTAGTAGTTGTCAGGTAGTTCATGGACATATTCCTGTGCAAAGCATTTGAACTCCTTTTCTCCTAGTATGGCACTGCTTCTACCATATTTCTTGATAAAACCTTTGCTAGAATAGGCAGTTCCCCAAGCTGCCAAGCACATCACCACTGCGTTTAGCTTTGGGAAGGGAGGTGAATTAAACACCCAGGAGGGTTTATGAACAGCAGGAAAAATAATGAATGATTGGCTGTTTAGTTTGAGCCTTTGCCTGAATCTTTATCAAAGGAATTGCTCTGTAGGTGTTGAAATCCTTCAGCTGAATTCCTTAATATCTCTGCTCTGCATCCTGTTTTGGTTGTTAATTAGCTCCTGCTGATTCCAACGTAGCCAGCCTTGATTGCATGCAAAACATTTGTGCTGCTAAATGGAGACCTGCCATTCTGGTTGGCATCTTGCAAATCACTTTGATGGGCAACTCAACCATCCCAGTCCCAGCCAGGGCACGCATCAGTGATGCAGCACCCATAACACCGCCTGCAAGATGTGCTCATTTAAGGAACACTTGTTTAATCCGTCATAATTTGGTTTCACTTCTGCATAATTGCTTTGAGGGTTTTGTGGCAGCTTTTGTTTCCAAAAAGGCCACAATACCCACACACAGAGTAAAATTGAGTGTTTTACTGATAAAATATTGGAAATAGGACTGGGTTTTTTCCTAGTGAATGCAAGGGGAAAATCAAAGCGGAGCACTTCCAAATGGAGCTGGCTATTGGTTCAGTCAGATTATCTGAAATACCCAAGTAGTTTGGTAAGATTTGAAGTGAACTAATAGTGGGAATGATCCAGTCCTATATGAAAACATAATGATTTCCAGTGTATGAGGGCAAATCCTCAACCTGGGTGCTTGAAGGTAGACATTCAGTCTTTTCTGTGTGAGTGTTAGAGACTGCAATGCTTTCCACAAGCAGGAATTTTGTATGGGCACACTTTGCCAAACTTCATCATTCCAGGGCTAGTCAGTATGCCTCATTCAGTGCTCATTTGTGCTGCAGTTCTTAAATAGCAGTGGTTTATTTTATAGCTACTAGCTTGAGAGTTACAGTGAATATTAATAATTCATTGCACTTGCAGTAAATCAACATGGTGGTTCTCTTTTTATAGGAACACTCCTAAATTGCTTTTTTCTGAAATCACTGAATTCGTGACCCTTTCATGGCTTGGACTGAGTTGGGGATTTTGCTTTTAGGCAAAGTAAAGCCGTTTTGGCTATTTTTAATCTATGCTTTTGCACTGAATTTCCTTCCTCCTGATGTGCATTAGAAGTGTTGTCACTCTTCCATTTACTTCTTGACCCCCGTGATAATTCAGAGCTCTTCCAATGAGCTGGCAGGTGGCTGAATCCCAGTTTTGATTTCTCTTTTTTTAGTGAGTAAACAGTAACCTTTGTGAGAAAATAAGCCCATCTGGCACTTGATGGGCATCCTAAACTGTGACCTGCGAGCTGCTGGAAGTTGGATTTGGCAGGAGCTGACACTAAGGAGCTGGCCTCCCGACACAGGCACTGGTTTAGAGGCAGGGTGTTGGTGACTCGCTGTCAGCTAATGCACCCTGCTGTTACATAAATGTTATTAAAATACATATATACACAGCCCGGGGTTTTCAGGGTTTTCAAAGTGTGTTTTTCCTAGCTGGAAGAATACAGAAGACCTGGTTTTATTCTTCACTGATGCTTCTGTTCTTTAAAAGAAGAGGAAACCTGGCAGCGACCTCGGCAGAGGTTGGGAGCACCGAACAGGCTCTCCAGCAGTCATCTCCCTAGGAGTTCTGTACTCCTCTCCCTACATTTTTCACATCATTTGTGACTTGTCTGGCTGCTGAGCCACCCTATGGCACTGCACGTTAATGTCTTGTCACAGTGGTCACTGCAGGCAGCAGAATGAAGAGCCTCTGCCCAAACAAGCTTGAGGGGAATTTGGGCACATTTCTGGATGCTTGTAAAACTGTTTCCTCAAAGGATCCCCCACCACACACACACAGACATAATTCCACTTCCGATTGTCTAGGTCAGTATTAGTCTGTCTTTGTTAGCATTAATTTCATAATATCCACAACTTTAAAAGGGAACATAGATGAATACTCTGTTTGACCAGCTTTTAGTACCAAGTACCTATAAAGTGGTCCCAAATAATGACT